CCCTGCCCTGTCAGGGCCATGTCTGCTGGTGCCCCTTTGTTTTGGCATCTGAGGCAGTTGCCCCACTTGCCCCCTCCCTTGCTATGGTACTGGAGACATACCCTGAAAGCCAATGCACTTGAGCTTTAAGAAATCCAGAGGAACAGCTTTTAGAGATATCGTCCATTTGCTGAATGTAGCCTCCCACCAGTGCGCTGAGATGTGAAACTAGGATTAATTAGTAAAGTTCACTGTTGGCCTCGTGTCGTGAGGTCAAGTAAGCCAAAAGCTAGACTACAGACAGCTTCATAACTTAACACCTTGAACTGAACCAAGAAGCGGATACAAAGTCAGCGTTGTGTATAAGTGTCAAGTGTTCAACCAAGTTCGCGCTGCAAAAGCAGTGTATTTCAGCAAAATCAGTTTGACAAAAAAAACTGTTTACACATTGACTAAGAGTACATGTTCTGTACAAGAGTACCTCTTTACTACTTCACCAAAAGCACCATGCTTGCTTTGCATCTCTAGTGTGAAGACAAGCTATACCCTATAACAATGCCATCACATTACACTGCATTTTGCAGGATCTGTATGTACTCTTTCAGTTAATGCCTATGAAGGAGTATAAAAAATAGAGGGTTCTGGCTGTGGGAATGAGATATGTCAGGGGCTCTGATTACTTAAACCTGCAGATCCAGGGCAAAAATAAGTGTCTCATGTAGCAACTGCTACTGGATGTGGTCTTTGAGGAAAGAAATGTAAATCTGTTGTGTATATTACAGTTCTTGTATGTGAATATAGGCCATGATTCTCATTTAACTATAGGCTACTATATGCTTTTTAGCTGTGAAAAGGACCTTTAGAGTAATTGGTGCCTCAACTCTAAACATGCACTCTCTTATTTAAGTTAGCCCTATGTCTGCCTCCACTAGGAGATTCCAGTCTCTATCAGGGGAAAACATTAAGATTTTTTTCCTTGCATAATCACATTTTATTTAGGACTCAGCAAAAATAGATTATTTGCTGCTTGCTGAGTATGTAAAACATGGTTCTGCTTTTGCTGAGTCCCTACTGGAAGTGACCCAGGAGAAAAAAATATTCAACAAGTTATCTCTTTCTGCACAGTTAATTTCAGTGAACTGCACATTTGCTTATGCAAACATATAGTTTGGAGAAGTTGGATTTCTTTTTGTGCGTCAGGAGGAAGAGCAAGAAACTATGCCATCATCCTTGTTCTACAACAAAGAAATGCAACTTTTTTGATAGAGGTGCAGTATATTGCTATGGAAGACTTGCTGAAAAAAACCTTTTATGGTGCGATGATCTGGATTAAAACTGATTTCTTTTTCTGTTATCACCAGAGAGATAGTAGTAAGAGAATCATTTTGAGGTGACTCCACTCAGAGTCCAAGAAGAATTCAATTACTGCAGATCATTAATTTTGGATCAGAAATAGGGGGGAGGGGAGGAAGGGGTGTGTTGTTTGCAGCTGCAAGGTGAATGGAAGTTAGATCCAGGGCTTGGCAGTGGGGCCATGGTCCAACAAAGATTGGGAACCATCGGTCTAGACACCCAGGCCTAGGATGTAATTGTACCCACGATTGCAGTGGAAGTTGAGAAGGCTCAGTACCTTATAGAAATAGGTCCTAACTGAGACCCCATTGCCCAATGACATATCAATTCATATAGATCCCAGTGGGCCTTGTCATAAAGATGGCAAGACTAAAGAAGAATTGCTGTCCTCACCACCAAAATGTAGGTGTCTCCAAAGAGAATTGCAGCAACTGTTTAACCTCATACAGAATATGACAGACCAGGTTGAGAGAGGGCATGCAGAATACCATGTTCAGTGCCACCTTACATCAGGAAGGGAACTTTAGAGTGGCCAGAAGATTGACCTGGAGAGACCCTGGAGATAACCTCAGCCCATGTTTGGAAGATGGTCTTTGTTATGGTTCCATGACATCTGATGAAGTGAGCTTCAGCTCACCAAAGCTTTGTGCTACAGATGTATATAACTACCAAAGTAGATGGAAGAAAGAATGAAAGAAATTTAATCTACGTTGGTTAGTGTATAGGGTCCAAATTCTATGTGACTTCAGCCTATGGGTTTTTAGTGCAGCCCCCAGCAGATGGAGCTCAGTTTTATGTTGAATGTAGTTTTATGTAGAGTTTAGATGATGGGTTGCATAGGACAGTTTGGATAGGGATGATCCTGCCTCAGGCAGGGTGTTGGATGATCTGATGGCCACCTATAAGATTATCAGGGGTGTTCACCAGGATCTGGGGGAACGTTTGTTCACCAGAGCGCCCCAAGGGATGATGAGGTCGAATTGTCATAAACTACTACAAGGCCTTTTCAGGCTGGACATAAAGAAGACTTTCTTTACTGTCCGAGCTCCCAAGGTCTGGAGCAGCCTGCCGTCAGAGATGGTTCAAGCACCTACATTGAACACCTTCAAGAGCAAATTGGATGCTTATCTTGCTGGGATCCTGTGACCCCAGCTGATTTCCTGCCCTTTGGGCAGGGGGCTGGACTTGATGATCTTCCGAGGTCCCTTCCAGCCCTAATGTCTATGAAATCTATGACCCTGGCAGTCCATGCCAGCCCTCCTCCCCTTGCTTTCTACACTTGAGTAAAATTAGCCAAGTGCCTGGATTTGGCAGCTCCCAGAATAGACAGGCTCACCCAAAGCTGATGGTGTCATAGTCACGGCAAGGGGTGAGAAGCCACCGCCAAACTTCAGCGCAAGTCCCAACTTGGGCATGGAGGGCAAGCACCCCACAGATCAGGGACGGGCAATTATTGTGGGCAGAAGGCCACTTACTGAGTTTCAGCAAGCCATCGAGGGCAGCATGGCAGGCAGCTCAGGGCAGATCAGTATTAATTTTCTAAATGTTTTAGGGGCCCCACGGGCGAATAGAATGGCCTGGCAGGACGCATCCGCCCCCCGGGCTGCACTTTGCCCACCCTTGCCACAGACGGTACTGGGGCGAGCTGGGGACCTGTGATCAAAGAACCAGGTGACAGGCAGCTCAGAGGAAGTTGTGGCTCAGCAACCACTCGCTCCAAGGGACAGTCCGTCCGTGAGTCCCAGGGCCGGAAGGGGCCATCTAGCCCCGTGTCTCTCCACCGACCTCAGGCTGCCCCGAGCCCCCACGAGGAGCGCAGCCCCTGCAACACTGTCCCGGAGGGGAGGGGTTGGGGAGGGGGGCCGAGGCTGCGCCCAGGTGCCTCCTCTCGGGCTCCCCGGGCAGCGGCAGCAGCGAGCGGGGCTGCGCCGGGAGCCCGGCCCACTGCCGGCCCCGCCGGGGAGAGGAACTCCCCGCCCGCAGGCGGC